TCTACGTGCTGTGGAAAATGACACCCCTGATGAAGTAAGCCCCACCCCCACCATGGTGCTCAGATCAGGCTTACCTGTCCCTCCTGGGTACTTAGGACCACTATGGTGGGTGCCAGGATCGAGAACAGCAGGAGATGAGCGAACATACGTTTGCTGATCGCCGCAGTGAAGAATGAACCTGTAAGCGATCAGCTCTGATCACTTCCAGGTTTATCGCAGTCATTCCTGGACCTCTGTGGCTGGGGATAAAGCTGATCGAACATGATCTGTGTTTGGCCAGCTGCAACAGACTGCAGACGTGACAACCTGGCACATGCTAAGGAGGTCTAAGGGGAACTTACAGGTTTCATAATATATTTTTCGGTGCGTTTAAGTAATCTCAGGGTCTTTAGTATATAACTTAAAGTGACATTAAAGTCATTTCCCCCACCCCTCCCCCCAATGTTAATGTCAGCACTTACCTTAAATGATGTCTCTTAGTCCGATCTTCTTCTTTCCTGTCCTTTTCAGCCTTCTCTCCAGTGCTGCGGCGGGTGTCCTTTCAGTGCTGACTCCTCTGTGCCTGCTGGCACTTCCGATCCCACGGTAACTGCATGCGGGGGCACGCATCCATAGACTTGCCTTGCGCCTCTCCCCGTCTCCCGGCCGAAAATATGAACTGCGCATGCGCCCGCCCCAAGATGCTTTGCGGCCGCCCGAGCAGTTTCGGATTTTCTGACAGGAGCGCGCGGCGAAGACGGGGTAGGTTTAAACCGCTGTTAAAGCGGTTTGAAAAAAATAAATAACTTTTTGCATACATCTACTGCTTACTAGTTTTGTTCCTCCCCCCCGTGAAAGGAGCAGCAGTGGACTGATGATCTCATCTCTCTGCTATTATGATCTCTCCTCCAATCAGCATGTTTCTTCATGCACGAGATTTATTGGCTGCATTAGGAGAAAGGACATTTTTAGCATGTACTAAAAATACATGTTGATCCTGCCAGAAATGCAGTGCCCTTGACATTTCCTGTTAGCTGTATTGGAAACGTAAAACAATGTTAGTCTTCCTTCTGTAATCTACCCATATACTCGAGATGAACAAAGGCAGACATAGTTGCAGTCCTGCCTGGTTGGCAAGCATCGCTCCTTCCATAGATAAGAGTGGAGACATGAGTGTAGCCAACCAGGGACATGGGGACTGATAAGTTGCAATATATTACATATCTGTAAAAATGAAGTCAAGGCAATTGGACTTGCTGTATTTTTGTTGAAGATGTTTCACTGGTCATCCATCTTCAAGAAAAATATTCAAGCAACCACCCCGCGGCCAGCTTCCGGAGCCGACAGGTGAATGTAAGCAGCCAAGGGCCAATAGCCAGACTGCTATTGACCATTTTGAATTGCAATAGCAGGCTGGCTATTGGGACTCCGCACCACTGAGCAGAGGAGTGGACCAGAAAGATCTAGGTCTCTCAGGTCTGCTCCTCTGCTCAGTGGGTGGGTACAATACCCAGCCTGCTATTGGCTATTGCAATTTGAAATGGCTAATAGCAGGCTGGTTTTTGCTACCCATTGTGTACACTCTGCTACCGAGCGCAGAATCTAGCCGCAGCTGAAAGCAGAATGTAAACAAAGAATTTTGTGTGCATCAAGCAACTGACAACTTTTTAGTGTGCATCAAGCCACCCGCAAAAAAAAATATATATATTTATGTAGAGAGACAGAGACATGGGAGAGTGATCAGCAGAGACTCAGCAGTACATAAACCGTAATTACAATCATTTTATCATTGACAAAAGTACAACAGTGACCTCTACAGGATAGTATGTAAACTGCAGTAAATAGAAAATACCTCTATGGAAAACCATCATGGTTTTTTGCTCAATATGAAATATTGATGTAGATGTATTTTTTTACGCATGATATTTCATATTTCTCCGTCTACAAATAGAAAGAAAAAAAATAGCTCAACTCCAGGCAAAGCTACATAAGCCGTTGAAATACCTATGCAGGGACATGATCGAGAGGTGAGCTACGGTAGGTGTTCGCTCACTTCCCGATCTATTGAGCCAACGCGTGAGTTTCATTATCACACGTCGGCTCGAAATATAAGGTTGATTGAAAATCACTCACCTCATAGTTCTCCTTTAATGACCATTATGCTGCTGTTCTGAAAGGTGGGGTAGAGTCACATACAAAAGTCACATTTCGGGTAAAAATGCCAATTTAGCCTAGGTTCACACCTGCACTACACCCGGGTGACATCCGCGCAAATCGCTACAAGTACATTCTTTTTGTGACATGGCACACGGCTTTTTTAGCCGCGATCGTGTTCACTTGCACGGGTGGAATCGCGGCGGGAAACCACACAATCCGCCCGGCGCAACTGGGGTGCCATTAGAAAATAATGGCACACACAGCGAGATCGGTTCACACCTTGGCTACTTCTGACCGTGCGGCAATCGGCGCGGAATTGTGCACGATTGCCGCCTAGGTGTGAACCTAGCCTAAAGACCCCATTCACACTGAGCAATTTGTAGCGCGATTTCCGGTCACAAAATCGCTCATTGTAGCTCGTCCAATGCATCTCAATGTCGCCTGTAGCTTGTCGCGCGAACATGACCTATTTTTCCAGCAGATTGTGTGATTTGGCTCCAATAGGCTTTGATAGAGTGCCAAAAGCTACGTAGTGCGACGAAATGTGCACTGTAGCTCAATGTTGCACAGCTCAAATCAACGCTGAATTTAGCTCAGTGTTTATGGGGTCTTAAGGATAAGTTTACCTTTCAGACCAACTTTCATGTTACATCCATATTCAGGGTAGAACATGAAACATGGTCAGATAAACAAACGTCTCAGTAGAGGACAAGTGCAGCGGCATCATCGGACTCCACTCATTATTCCTCGCGTCCCTGTAACTGAAAATCCATACCAAAAAAGGTACAGACAGTGACAGGAAGGAACATCTGCAGGAGCCAAAGCATTGCACTGGAGATCCACTGACCACAATGCAATGCTTTACAGGCTCCAATGCAAAAAAATGCTCATGTGTTCCTTTATGAAGACGTGTGCGCTTTATTTTTTTGGGTGGAGTTTTCTTGTAAAGACAATTTAAAACCACATGTCCATCTAAGAGTACCCTGTCAGGGACTGTGTTGAGTAACGTTGAGCAATGCATCCCATCTCAGACTGTGAATGAGCCCAAAACAAGCAGCTCCCATGTCATGTCAGAAACATAATGAATCGGTTTAGAATGTTTTACATTTATTTTAAAAGTAGCTTCCACATATTCCCAGGACATGGTAATAACACGTATTAAATGTTAGACGTGATCTTGTATACCAGTATGTATTACAATTCTACATAGAACCATTCACACATCCATTTGTTCAATCTCTTAGGTAATCTGTGCCTATGTTACCCATGTATTTCATCCACTCAAAAGGGAGAACCATCTAGAAATGTGGAGACTTTTCACAAGTATCTAACAAGTCTTTTCATATGGAGACAAGACTTCTGGGTAAAAAAAAAAACTGGTTTTACATGGCAATCCTGTAAGTTTACCATCCACTACAGCCTACAGCCCCCCGACCCATGAACAATACTGTTTTTATTGTTCAGCCTTGTGCTGCCACCATCTAAAAAGCTGCCCATACACCTTACAACCAACGCACGACTTTCGTTGTGCGTTAGTTGCAAGGAGATTATAAAATTTCGTATGACCTGCCCATCATGGACCGGCAGATCGTACTTGCGATCATCGCAAGTCCTCTCCGCTGAGGGGAGGGCTTGCAGATGATTGCAACGGTGAGCGGGCAGTGTGCGCTTGCGCACCTCGGGCCATGCGGCTTTCGATTGTGCTACCAAACCTAGCGTGCTAGTTATACGAAAATCATGTAACCGTACAGTAAATGCAGTCGCACACTGCCCAACCTTACGATTATCATAGGATTGCGGGATCACCCGCGATTATCGTACAATAATCGTCAGGTGTATGGGCTCCTTAACTTGGTAGTGCATGCCAACACTCTGCCGCACACACCTGTCCTAATCAAGCAAGTGCTTAAGAAGACTGATGGACGTTCAGGCTATGCCCGATCAACAGGTTAGTCTGTTAGCTCATGCCTGGGGTGGAGGTCTATCCGACTTTTACTGTTCATGCCTCGGGCTATTACTGCGTGTTGTTTTGCCTATATTTATGGTATGTCTTTGCTTATCCTGATCATTGGCCTTTTACCTCTGCTATTGTTGGTCATTGCTCAGTTTATTTGTCTAAATCCTGGAGCCTTTGTTTGGGATTAGTATGGGACCATCAACCTGCTGACTGTCTGTAGATTTGCACCACTCTAGGATCTGTCCTGCCTGTTACTTAGCTTTCATCTCTGGTAACACAGTGGTTCCACCAAACTTCATGACACTGATGTACTATTTATGGAAATAGACATACTTTGCTTCTTAGACTGACAAGAACCACGAGTCCCACACTGATGAGCTAAACCAGAACCATCTCACGAGTGTTTTGGCTTAGCAAACACCCGTTATAGAAAAGAAGTAGACAGAGTGTTTATTTACCATGTAAAATGGTATTTACCCAAAATCCTTTCTCCATGTGGTTAGGCTTATTTGCATATATTTCCTATGCAACATAACCCGAAGACTCCCTACTTCGTACTGGAAGATCTGAAGTCTAGACCAACTAAAAAGAAACAAATCTTTGGCACTCAGTCGTAGGGATTTGGCTTTGTAAACTGGCTCCAAGAGATGGTTCTGTCCTTAAGCTGTGATCAATGGTTGTTCCTCATGGAATTAGGGCTCCTACTTACTCCTATTTTAATCACAAAGTCCCACATTTGACCATGGAAGTCCAAAACCAATGATATTCCTAGACATTCACATCTTTCAGATTCAAGTAACTAGGATTGGTACCACAAAGCTTCTCAACACAATCATGGATAGTGGCTAGTATATAAAAACACTGATAAAAATGTATCTCAAAAGGCATCCTGCTTCAAAAAAAACTAGGACTAGTAAGGTGACTTTGAAGTATCACATTAAGTGGTCTCTTCCACAGGAAGGCTGCAATATAGAGTCTCTCTTGCCAGGTTGAACATAAAAGAGTTCATGGGAACTCAATCAGCATGGTTCCTTCTCGGCTTGCCTCCAGGTTTGGCTTTTGTCACCACCCGGTAAAATCCAAATGCAATCTTATACATCCAGTAGACATTGAGGACGTCTAGGATGACGCAGGAGACAATCCACGCCACCTGTGGGCCTATGCCCAGCCTGATGTAACCTTCTGTGCCAAATGTGGCAAAGACTTGGGAGTAATAGCTGGGAATGACGGCAATTCGTACGATGAAGAAGACGACAGACATTGAAAGGGCATTGATCAGGACAGGCCGGGAGGAACGCGGCATCCCGACTGCATCGAAGAACCACCTATGGTGAAGAAAAGAGACCTTTAGATAATGCAACTAGTCAGTACATTAGGCTTTAGAAATCTCTGGAGCCTTGTAAGAAACACAAATAAAAGATCAGCTTTTTTTAAGCCTTCTACTTTTCCAATAGAAGCATGTGTTTCAGGCTCCAGAAAAGTTGATCGCTGGATGAATGGTCTAGGAAATGGTCACTGGAGGGGGATGATCAAAGTTCAGGTACAGCAAGTGGTTGACCAGTTTCTTCAGCCCCTTCAGCAATACTGGACTGCATGGCTCCTGAATTCTAAACCGATTTGTCTTCTCCAGATCTGCATTGCTTCAAAAGCTGTATTTAGAAATCATCTTCCCCTAGACCACCTAAACTTCATTTATACCTTGGTGTCATATTAAAACAAAGACTTACGGTAGTTTGAGAAGAGTGCAATCATTTTTACTTTCTTTTTTGTTACTTCAATAAATACGTTTTTCTAAGCTATTCAGGAAACATTTCAGCTAAAGTCAGAAATCAATGTATCTTCTATGTGTCCGAGATGTCCCGCTGGGGCAGGCCCTTGTTGTGTATCAGAACGTGGCTCTCTATTTGGAGTCACAGCCATGTATCTTCACACAGGGGCATACACATGTGCACTTTTAGTCATCTGTGCGAGCATGTGAGTAATTCCTGCCACAAGCATTGGCACCCGTGTTGGGGTGCCAATGCTTGAGACTCGGCTTTGCTCAGATTTAGTCCCAAGTGATCTTCAGCTATACTCTTGTCATCTGATATAACTTAAAGCTCTGTGGATTCCTACTCTTACCGACCCAGCTTTTTCTTAGACTGCCCTTTTATTCTCATTCTCCGCCTGCATATGTACTGTTGATTACCTGCTGCTGATCCTGGTCTGTCTTCTGACCCTCCTGCCTCTCTACTTGGTACTTTATTGGCCAGATTGCAGCCTATCCACTGTCCGTGTATGCCATATGACTTTTGCATTTGTTGGATCCTTAGTTGGCTACCTGCTCGGAACCTAATCCAGTACGCAACAGCACGACCTGCATGGTGTCTCCAGTGTTCCTGCCTGCTGATCCTTCAGACTCCAGCTATGGCATCTCTCACACAACTACAATGCAGGAACTTGTGCCACTCCATTGCCCTGGTGCCACTTGTTACCCTATCAGGGGAGTTTGGGCTGGAGCAGCAAGAGGGGCAACCCTTATCTTGGTCTCCTCTCAGATGTATCACATGGAGTTCAGAGAGAAGATCAAGATGTGCTTGCTGACTGCAATTAATGAATGAATTGGTTAATATACTAACTCATTCATTGCAGTAAGATCTCGCAAGCTTTACCACTTGGCTTATGGGCAAGACTGCAACATCATTGCACATGATTCTATGCGGTGCAACCTTCTTTTTTGGATAGCTACAGGGAGAAGTCCTTAGGACAAGGGAGTGCTTGGCCTGCATTTTCACAGCTTCAGTTTGGGACCTTCCAGAAAATAAGATGGGGGTGTTCTGTGATTACTGTACACTACAGTTCCTCTACAGTTACCGTAGTTATTAAAGCTAGGGTCATTGATTTACTTGTTTTCCCCCATTTTGGTTAGTGGCAAAAGGGATTTACTGAGTGGGGCATCCAAAGTAAATGCCAGGATAGCAATATGAGCCCATTGAGGTGTCCCAATGTCAGTTTAAAGTGGACCTAACACACACCTTGGCAATTTCAGGTGAAGAGATAGGAAAATACATACAGGTTGCCTTCAGTAAAAACAAAATCAGTACATGCAAATATATTAGCAGCTAAAGTTGTATGCAAATCAGAACTTTTCCAGCTGTGTCTGGCTTCCCCACCCCCTCCCAGATCATTAAAAAGGCCAATGGAGAGGCGCAGTAGGTGGTAGAACCAAGTACAACTTTAAAAAGACTGATGTATAACTTCAGCCACTGATATCTCTGGATCTAGTGATGGTTCGAACACGAAGGTAACCTCCGTTTTCCTTTCTCCCCTTCATATTCATAGTTTGGATTTTCCAGGTTTGTGCCGGTTTTATTGTTGCTCTTTGGCAATTTTCCCTAATAACGGCGAATTCTTACCTCTGGTTTACAAAGGGTGTTGAGAGTTCAGATATCAACCGAAAATTGGCGAAATATGGCAGCACTCCTCGGTTCTGTAAAGGAAAATAAATATTTGTTTTGGTTTTTTTTTTTGCAATCGTATCAATGATACTGGAGAAAGGAGAAAAAGATATGAAAGCTGCCTAATCCCTTCCTGCCCACAATCCCTATAATAAAGTACTTCAGTGTGATGCCCTGTGCTGAGGAAATGTTAAATAAGAACTCTGGGCAAGTTAAATCTTAACCCTTGCAGTGTGGCTAAAGGCTGTGACGCTGCACGCGAAGCCGTGCAGAGCGAAGCAAAGCTATCCGGCACGGAGCTTTGCGTGCAGTGTGTGAGCTGATGATTGACAGCACCTGCAGCCAATCAGCTCGTGCTTAATAACCGGCCAGACGCTGCATCCCGTCGCGCCGGTCTATACGCGCGAGCCGATTGGCTGAAGTTGAAATTGTTCATCTCGGCACGAGTTCTCGCCAGCTGAGGTGCCCAGAAGAAAATGACATGACACACTGCTCGCAAAGGCAGCGCGCCACCGCTCCGCCTGCAGTGTGTCACGGCCTTAAAATAACAAAAGTATACTCACCCGAGCAACAATTACGGCTTGCTTTTAGACCGGTCCCGGCAGCCTCTCTCTCTTCGCTCTGGCGATGGTATGCCCCTCAGCAACCTCACGACCATTACACTGTATAGAACGTGATGGCTCACAGGACCTTAGACTGCTGGAAGCGAGGCTAAAGTGACCAGTCTAGCAGCCAAACAGGCTCAAGGTTCGGGTGACTAGCTCTGTTATTTTAGCTTGCTAGACAAAATGAGCACTTAACCCTTGCATTGTGGAGGTAGCCCCACTGCAAGGGTTAAAGCAGAAGTCAAGGCAAATTAAATCTTAACCCTGGCAGTGGGGCTACCCCCACAATGCAAGGGTCAAATGCTCATTTTGTCTAGCAAGCTAAAATAACAGAGATATACTCAGCCAAACCAGGATCCCGGCTTGCTCTTAGACCGGTCCCTTCAGCCCTGCTCCCCCATCTGCTCTAGCGGTCTAACATCCAGTAGGTCATCATGTTCTGTATAGTGTATAGGACATGAGGATGCCCAGGGACTTTCCATCACTGGAGCGGAGAGTGAGCAAGGGTGGAGGAATCAGTCTAGGAGCCAGCTGGGATCTCAGTTCGGGTGAGTATGTCTACGTTATTTTAGCTCTCAAGGCAAAACCAGCGCCGACTGCAAGGGTTAGATTTGCCTGGAGTTCTGCTTTAAGATTTAATTTGCCCAGAGTTCTTCTTTAATGAATGTCTTATGGAAAGCCTTCCCAGAAAAGTGGAGGCTGTTATAGCTGGAGGAACGAACTTCATATTGATGCCCATGATTTTGGAACGGGATGTCTAACAAACTCAACGAGATGGAATGGTCAGGTATGCACAAACCTTTCTCCCTATAGTGTATCTGTGAACAGGACAGTCCCAACATTTAAAGTGTTCTAGTCACATTCCTTTCTGATCAGGTTTTTCCAGTCCCCATGATCTGAACTCGCGATTCGTGACCTACCAGCACATATCCGTATGCGTAGAGCACCGCGAAGTGGTGGCAGACCATATACGGGTCTCTCATCTCCTTCCAATAGCGAGCGAAAAATAATAAGTCTGACGAATAACAAAACAACCAGTTACAAAGATGAGCGGATTCTACTAACACATTTTATAAAATGCAAATTTAAAGTAGAACTTCCATGGAAATACAATATTTATTGATTAAAATCATTAAGCTTGGAAAGAAATACTTCCTACGCGGCCCCGCTTTACCGCTACACACATTGTTAAAAGGTATACTCCACTCTTGGGATGCATAGAAAGAGCAAAGCGTATCGGCTCAGGCTTCAGTCTTTTCTCCAGGCATACTGTAGCTGCAATGCATCTATCTAGCACCATGCCTAGTGTCAGGGACGCAGAGAATTTTGATTTCTTGCTTGTAACAGCACCAAACACACCAACTGGGGGCTCCTCGCTGTCTCTCCTACAGAAAGCCTCATGTATTAAAACATCAGTGCTAACAAGTTTCTTACAGCCCCCAATTAAATCCAAACCTGCTATGAAATTTAAAATATGATAGTACATAAAATCAGGCACACGCCAGCTGAAGGCCAACACTAGGCTTACAGTGGGACGTGTGACTGCCTTGTAAGATGAGTGGAAGGGGGTGTTTTGTAAAATGGTTACTCCTGTAAACTCACCCAAGCATTGGGCTTTTGGAGATACCCAAATACACATATACAGTAAATATTAGGGATGCACCGATATATCGGCAGCCGAAAAATAGTGGCCAAAAATTGCACTTTTGACTAAATGCCGAAAGTGCCATTTTTGTGCTGATACAGTGGCGCATCCGTGCTTTCTTTCCTCCCGAATGGGCGCTGCTTCGTGTCCCAGCGGGGAGGAGAGAAAGTGTGACAGCCAGCCGAGCGCTGTAGGAGGAGAGCGCACTGAGCGGCCGGCATCTCTCCTCCCACACTGCTCAGCCGCCTATCACAGTCCGGCAGAGCGGTGTGGGGGCGGAGGCAGCCAGCGCTGTCACAGGAGGCTGAGCTCTCCTCCCTACAAGAGTAGTGTATATTCTACCTTTTTTTTAAAATTATATATATATATATATATATAATTTGCTCTGTAAAACTCTATAGATTTATAGATTAGAACTACAGAGAGACAGACCGAAAGGAAACAGCAACTGCTCTGCTCTTTTATAACCCAATAATAATCTGTGACACCACTATGGAGATGAGCACCCAGAATTCAACGTTGTATACATAAAATAAAGATTTTACATACAAAGTTAAAAAAAAAGAGATATGAGATATAGAACAGATCAATATAAAACATTTGGGCTATAACTATACTTTAAATATGAAAACTAATTTTGAATAGTGCCAGAAGCCTCATACTATTTGAAGGAAGAACCTTTCGTATTGCCCAGGGCAGCCAATCATACCGCTTCTTTCATGTTTCCAGAGTGAGGTCTAATTGGCTGGATGATACATGAAACTCTTTGAGGGAAGAACTTTTTGTATTGCCCAGGACAGCCAATCATACCCCTTCTTTCATGATTCCAGAGCAAGATCTGATTGGCTAGATGATACCTGTTCTTTCCTTCATGTATGAACCCCGATGTTCTAAACAAACAATCATGGGGCCTTCAGTGGCTTTCTCAATCTATGCAAACTTAAGATTTGTCCCCTTATTCCTATTTCATTAGATAGATATTTAGTTCTTTACCATAAACGAGGTAGCCACAGGTTATTGCAACATTCATTTTCACCTGAAATGGATCACCCCTGAAATGAGAACAGGAAGGTTAGATGTTGTCCTTCAGGGTTTGGAACCTAAAGAAAAGGGCAGGATGGAAGTCAAGTTTTAAGTGTTCCCTGTATGGAAGATGGTGGCTTAGAGTTAGGGTTGTGACCTTGCAGCACTGGGGACCTGGAGTAGAATGTTCTCCTGATGTTTGTGTGGGTTTCTGCCTACAATCCAAAAATATACTAAGAGGTTAATTTACCTCCTCCCCAATAAGACAATCATGGACCACTCAGCATGATTACTTCCTCCCCAATAAGTCATAGTCCGTTCACCTCCCTGTTGAAAATAGGGGGTATAAGGATGAGAGGTTAATTTTCCTACTCCCCAATAAGACAGTCATGGTCTGTCACCTCTGTTGAACAAAATGGGGGGTAAAAGAATGAGAGGTTAAATTTACCTCCTCCCCAATAAGACAGTCATGGTCCACTCACCATGACTACCTCCTCCCCAATAAGACAGTCATGGTCTGCTCACCTTTCTGTTGAACAAAATGGGGATACCATGGATGTAAAATGATACTCCACCATTCAAATGAAGAAATCTCCTCCACTTTCTATCAGTTTTTATAAACCAGTATTGTTGCTCAAACCAGGAACTGGTCATAATGCAATATTCTGGAAATTGAGCATTAACCCCTTACCACCGACTCCTGTTGGCCCTTTAAGGGGACCTTAATGCAGAGAGTCAAAGGCAGGCTTCCTGATCATGTGATCACTGGGATTGGCTATCACAACGGTCACATGATCTGGAGGCGGTCTCATCAGCTCCTGATCTTGCGCATTAACGGGAGTTACGTCATTCTGGCCCAGCTAATCAAGATGGCCGAAGATCCTGAACCTGCAAGAACAGTGGGCAAAGATGTCAGCACCTGCTAGGGAGCAACATGAAGGGGAGTATAGCTTTCAGTTAATCAAACCACACTGTCACTTTCAAGGCAGTGTGAACGTGCCTCCAGGTAGCTGATGGCGCTAAGGAGCACAGGAAATAAGTATTTATAAGTAATTTAAGAAAATGGAATGATACACAATTTCGCAAACTAGGATTTACATCTACGTTCAAACTGAATTAGGATTCTAGCATAACCGAAGTCATGACTTATTCTCTTTAAGCAACTATAGCAATATGCCTATAAACATCCTTAGCTGTCCATACTTCGTGGTAACTGTCACTGTATGAAATACATTGTGGGCTGACAGGCTTGGCACTGTGACA